ATGTAGAAAATAAAAATAAAAATTATATATATATAAAAGAATTTACACATCCCTTCATTTTACATCATAGAGTAATTTTAATACAGGTCTTCTCTATTGAATATTATTTATTTATTTATTTATTTATTTGCATTTGTGTCCTGCCCTCCCCGCGAACAGGCTCAGGGCAGCTCACATTTATCGGCAGCATGTGTCGAATCAGCATAAAACATTTAAAAACAAGTTAAAACAATCATACCATAAACAATTAACACTTAATAGTACTTAATAGTGCCATGCAATCTGTGGCTGAATTATACTCCCTTGACTGATTCCAGTGGTTCCTTTTCTCTAACTGAGGGTTGCTTCATGCATTATGAGGTCCTTGTGCTCCGCCCCCATGAGGCCACCAGGAGGACTTTTGATCAGACATGTACCTGGAGTTTCACGCTTGGAACTTAATTCCTAAGCATGTGTCAGCCTGATTTATATCAGGACCATGGCACTGAGGGAAAAGGAGTTTAAGCCCAAGGGCAAAGCTGCTTCCTTGTTGAGAAAACTGACATGTACCGAAGGCTACACATGAGTTTCCCCAACAGGGCAAATAGCGGCACTCTGAGGACATTTCAGGTTGGGAAAATGGCAAGGATTAAGCCCCCTTCCCCCACATGCCTCCATTCCTATAGAAATCAGGCCCTCATATACCTGTGAATTTCCACCATGGAACTATCAGACCATGTCTGTTAACAGTCCTTGTGTCCACAACATGGAATTTACAGCATGCAAATCGGCCTTGGAGACTCTTCCACTGATGGACGTACTCTTTTCTCCAGTGGACAAATCCGTCCTCTGGAAGGGCTGCTGAGAGCCACCATGGGCCCCTGAGAAAGATTCCATCTGAGTCCCCCATACAACCCTGATGCAAACCATGGGTCTAATTTTGTAATTTTATATTTGTACATAGAGTGTGCACCAATATTACACACACTTCTTAAATCTGATGAAGTGGGCAGTAGTTCAAAAAACCCTCATTTATATATATAAAAGAAAGTCCCCTCACTGTAAAATCAATGCCCAGGCCAAACCAGTGGACCTAGAAACACCACATTCGGGAAGAGCACTCCTACCGTGACATAGATGCTTGCCAAGAAGGGATTTTTAGAAATGTATTCCCCCCATTGATTCCTATGTGGCTGCCAGGCTACTGCCTCCCTGCACCCCCCCCACTCTCTGATTGGTCAGCTGCAGAGCTCAGTGTTCTGAGGTAAAAAAAAAACAGTTACAGGGGACTGCAGAGAACGAATGACAGTTGAGGAAATCAGTAGCTTCTAATACTCCTCCCTCTCCTACACTGGAGGTGGGATGCTTACAGCCACCGAGGAGGTTTGCTCAGCAGGATTGCCTTAGCCCTGCTGCTGGCCCAGCTTCCCTGATGCCTTTAAACATGATCCCCCCCCCAACACCAGACAGGCAGATGTCTGTCAGGTGTGGGAGCAGGACCAGGGTACTTTAATCCATCAGGGACGGCGCCCCAGCAGGATCACCTTAGCAGTGATGCTGGCCCAGCCTCTCTGATGGCTTCCAATACACTCCCTCCACTTCCTACACCTAACAGGTGGTTGTCTGTCAGGTGCAGCAGCGGTTGCAGGGTGCTTAAAGCTACGAGGGAGCCCGCCCAGCAGTCTAAAAAGAGGTCCTTCAGTAGAGGGGAAAAAAAACAGTATGTATATCTCACTTCATTTTTTACACTACAACAAATGTTACATTTCAAACTTCACATCAGCAGTATTATAACTGGATTTACGGAATTTAAATACCGTAGTGAAGCACGGGTATCAGGCTAGTATCACTATAAATCTTTAGTAAGTACTTCAGTAAGAAATCTATTTGTGAACGAGGCCCATAGCTACAGTGGGGCATTTTGTGGCCTTGCCCTCTTAATTAAAAGCCCTGCCCCACAAATAGCCATGCCAGAAACCTTATTTTTGAGGTGAGACCCCTGCTGCCTTCTGCTGGCAGCAGCCAGGGTGAGAATTGCCCTTGGGCTTCCCTCTCCCCCCCACTGTGGAATATGGAGGGGTGCATCATGAAACCTGGGAAAAAACAACTCAGAGTTCCCTAGAAACAGGCTAGAAAGGGCTAGAAACAGGCTCAGAGCCTCCCCCTTCAAGACAGGCATTTGGATTAATTTAATTAACTGTAATTTAAGTGCCCCTTTAACAATGTAAATGCCCCCTGAACAAAAAAATCCTGGCTACGGACCTGTTGTGAACTCTTGTATCTTTGGTTAGCTCAAAGCATGGGCAAATTTATTAAATAGTGGTACTTGATGAGAAGTACTGGGATAACCAGGACTGACTTTGCTGACATGTTTTCTGAAATGACTGTGATGAAAAGACATGAAGCTTAATGTCTATAGTAGCAAAGTGGCATTTACAGGGGGATATTAGTTGTCCCACCAGTACTGCAACCCACTGTCTGAACAGTGTTTAAAATATAATTGAATCTAATTAAGATTGGGAGAAGGATTTCTAACTTCTGTTCCAGATGTGTAACCACATCTGGATTAATATTCAATTATCATGCACATAAAGGCTGGGGTTTTTTTTTGTTGCTATACTACTGTTTGTTGCTATACTACTGTTAAATACTTCTAAGTTGGCAACCAGGATAGGGATGAGGAATTGAGACTCAGACTGAGAAATAAGAGGGGAATTAGAAAAGGGGAGAGAGAAATGAAGACATATCCTGAAAGAAAGAGAACAATATGAAGGAAAGCGTGGAAAAGAGAAAGATAAATTAATTTTGTTTTAATTTCTGCAACACATTTACAGGGCTACCCCTTTGCAAGATATGGCTAAGCAAAACAAAGGGCTTTTCTGCATGCACAGCTTACCCCAGATTTGTATAGTAGTCATGAAGCTTGGATTCGGATTCTGTGCTACCATTTTGCACCATTCCTTTTCTTCTGGATTTTTTGTTTTCTGAATTGTGGTGTATTTATTCTGCATGAATAACAAAAAAGATAGAACTTTTTCTAAGTATGGTGGGGACGTCCCTCGTGATGTGGTGGTGGGTGAGGGCAGAGGTTTTTTTTGTTTTTGCAAAAGTGGTTTATTTCCCCCCCAAAAACCAATTTATTAGGATATATTATTAAGTCAAATACATATTATATTCTTAGTTGTTATACATCCTTTCTTCTATTTCTCATCCCCCCCCCCCGGCTTCCCACAGTGCTCCAACCTCCTGCCCATTCCTTAAATTTTCTTCTATTTTCCCTTATCTTTTAATCATAATCTACCGGTAACATTTCTTTCACCTAGTGTTTTCTTATAGATAACTTTCTTCTAATAACATATATTTTTCAATAACTGTCAAAGCAAATTAAATTGTCCTTTACATCCCAGTATTTCTCTAAATAATCTTTAAAATCTGTCCAATCTGCATAAAATTCTTCTGCTTCAAGATTCTTAAGTTTCCTTGTCATTTTGTCCATTTCAACCATAAACAGTAATTTCCTTATCCAATCCCCAATTTCCGGAATTCTGTCTTGTTTCCAACATTGAGCATAAGTCATTCTGACTTATGCAAAAGTGGTATATGACAGCTGTGAAGTAAAGCCAACTTTCCACACTCCCAGGGAAATTTGTGCAGTTTTGTGCTTGCACAAGACAATTCTCTGTTCAGCGATTGGCAGAAAGTCCATCTGGCTCAAGTGCCATTTTGATGTAGGCATCCAAAGACTGTCAAAATGGTCGCCCTCCCCCGGCACCATTTGCTGTAGAGAGAACCACAGTTCAAATAATCCAAAACATAAGAAACAAGAAAGCTGTAAACATGCGCTAGAAACCATCTATAAGACATATAAAGTGGTATATAATGTAAATATTAAGACAATTGCATATACAAAGTGCAAAAAAGAGGTCCAAAATCACAGTTGTAGTTGACGAAGTTCTCCGGATTGTCAAGGCATTTCGAAAAAGTCTCATCTGAACAGGACCATATGTAACAATAATGTGTCTTCTATTCTTTGTAGAACATTGAATGAAGTATCAATAATTTTAATGCTTCATGGAAGAATTTCCTCACTGATCATACCAATACATGATGCATTTAAAAGCGGGGAATCTGGATAGAAAAATGCATTAGCTGTTTACTGTGCTCTGCCTTCCCTGTGCCCCTAGTGGCTGCAGTGCAGAGCTGCATCACGAGTTTTTTAAAAATTAAATGCATTCCCTGACTGCAACATGTTGCTGAGTTTAGGGGTCCTCCAGCTGAGTTGGGCCCCCCAAATCCCTCCCCACAGCGGCCCTGTCCTCTGTCAGTAGAAAGGAATCATTGTATTCAATACACTATTTAAGTAGATCAAACAAAGTAAATAGAATTTCATTTTTTATATTTATTTGCTTTCTTAGGACAATTGTTCATTCTGCACAATTGTTTCATGTGAGTCATGATTATGTTCAATCTTCACAGCTCCATTCACCTGTGCAATAATTCCATCCAGAAAAATTACAAGAATGCCACAGACCGCAGTCCTCAATTGCCGTATCACAACATGTGGACAAGCAGCAGATTCCAAGAGTATTTACAGAAGAGAGGACTTGGCCATGTCTGGCGTAATGTTATCTATCCATCCATGAAAAAAAACATAATCTGTACAATGAAGGTGGTGCAGGACCAAGTTGATCCACGGAGGAGCAGCTTTGAACTCTATGGGGCAGATTTTATTCTTGGGAAGGACTTCAAACCTTGGTTGATTGAAATCAATAGCAGTCCAACTATGTTCCCTTCTACCCCAATAACATCAGATCTATGTGCTCAGGTTCAAGAAGATACAATCAAGGTAGTTATTGACCGGAAGCATGACAAAAGTTGTGACCCTGGGAAATTTGAACTTCTCTGGAGACAGGTAGGAATTATTTTTCACCTGTACTTTGACAGAATCCAGAATTTCTAGACAGTCAAATCCACTGCCTTTAGATGCAGGTTTTGAAATGTGAATCCTAAAGAACTGGCTAAATACTACTAGTGAACACCAAACTATGTCAACATTCAGAATAAGCCATCAACAAGGAGCCAGTATAAGAAAGCCCATCAGCAAAAATGAAATGATAAAACTTAACATTATTAATAACTGACATGTCGATTAATAATCCATAGAGATTCCATAGCCGAAATATTGGTTGTTGCAAGTGCTTAATAAGGAAATGGCAAACAATAAGTAATAATGATATGCAGGAGCACCCTGCATGATTGTTTTAGTACTCTGCTATAAATCTGCACATGGTTTGGATTTGGATTACTGGCAACTGCTCACCTGAATCCTTCGCCCCCCCTGTAAAGCATAAAATCTGTTAGTTCCATAATTTTTTTGTCTGCCATTCCTTTCACATACTGGTGTCTCATCTACCTCTTCCAATATACCAAAGATTTCACTTTTTAAAAAGAACCATATTTGGTTCTGTGCTGAGACACATGTGGTTCAAAAACAAAAGGTTGGAGAGCCCTGTGTTAAAACAATGGGTTGGGTCCAGGTAGATGCTAGTGCAAGGATTACATATCTTTAATCTCTCCAACTCAGCAGTCCTTTCCAATCATGGGACAGCTGATTCCTAGAATTGCAGGACTCATGTAGACTTATAGCTATATGGTTTGGGAAGCTGTGTTGAAGAGAGAAAGGGACAAAGGTCTCCTCACTGATGGATGAGGCAGGAAAGGTGATTTCCCCCCTTATACTGCATCCCCCAACCCATGTAGCTATTGTTCTGTGCAGGTTCTGCTGCCTGACTAATCAATTTCCCTGGGGTCAGGTGGAACTGCTTGGGAGAGGGGAACATAGGAAAGAACCATGACCAACAGTGTCTCACTAACAGCTCACTGCTCCCAACTGAATATGATTAATCTCTCTCAGGCCTTGGTATAAACTTAATGAGAACCAATATGGGGGAAGAAGTTTCCAGATAGTTTCTGGAGATATTCAGTCTCTGGAATAATAAACTGAAATCTAGTGGATGCCCAGAGATAGAGTGCCATTTATTTCCAAGTAGCAAGTGAGAAGGCATCCTATATTGTGTACAAGGTTGTGGGAATAAGCCATTTTCACCCTAATTTCCATTTTTAAGATAAAAAACAACTCAAAAAGCTTTGTTTCTGTTTTTCTCTACAGTCTATGCTGGACATCCCCCCATTTAATCCTACAGACCTTTTAATTGAGGGAATCAGCGTTCGGAAACTGAAAAAGCACATGTCAACCCTCAATAATTTTAATTTCCTTGAACCACTCATGGGTGTGCTGCAGTCTACAACCAACCCAGAAAATAGAAGGGAGTCCATGACACCTGTCAATGACAAACAAAATGTAAGAGTCAAGCACAGGAATACTATCTCTTGCACTTTGCCCAAGACATTGAAGAAACCTCAAGAGAAAGATGTTAAAGTCAAAACCATCCTGAAAAAGCTGGCCAAACCAATAGACTTTCCTCGCATAGTTGATGGCCATGAAGCATCATCTTTCATCGATAAAAAGAAGAGCAAAGGAATAAAAGAGTCCAGCCATCAGAATGGAAGGCAAGGAGCCACTTCTTCTCAAAACAAGTTGCATTCCTTAGACTGGGCATTACTTCAGCCCTCTACAGAGACAGGTAAATTCACATTCACAGACAGTAAGGTAAAGATTTCCCTTGCTTGAAAGCCAGTCGAATCCAACTCGAGGGATGCAGTGCTCATCTCCGTTTCCAAGCCGAAGAGCCAGCACTGTCCAAAAATGTTTCTGTGGTCATGTGGCCAGCATGACTAGACGCCGAGGTGCACGGAACGCTGTTACCTTCCCACCGAAGCAGTACCTATTTATCTACTTGCAATTTCTTGCTTTCGAACTGCTAGTTTGGCAGGAGCTGGGACCAGAGATGGGAGCTCACTCTGTCATGCAGCACTTGGGTCTCGAACTGCTGAACTACTGACCTTCCAGTCTGCAGTTTAGCGTCTTAACCACTTGAGCCACCAGAGCCCCACATATAGCCCCACATATAGCCCCACAGACAGACCCACATAAAATGACAATTTCCTTATGCTAAAATATCACACTAAAACCCACAGCTGTCAGGTGCTTAGCTGATAAAATGTATATCATGTCAATACTTAATATTTATTTTCCAAAAATTGAAAGATATCTCTATGGCAATGTGGTGTAGTAGTTAGAGTGTTAGACTAGGATCTGGGACAACCAGATTCACATCCCCAGTCTGCTGTGGAAGCCTGCTGGGTGACCTTGGGCCAATCGTGCAATGTCAGTGAAAACTACCTCAAAGGGTTGTTGTGAGGATAAAATGGAGAAGAGGAGAATGATATAAGCCACCTTAAGTCCCCCTTGGGGAGAAAGGCAAGGTATAAATGAACGAATTAGGTAAATAAATAAATATGCTGATAATGCTTCGGAGCTAATCTTGTTAAGATCTATCAGTATAGCAGTTTTGACTGATTTGATTCTAGTATTCTCATGACTACTTTGTGGAGAACATGGAACATGACAGTGAAACAATGGGAGAACAGCAGACTGATCAACTGGAACTGCCGTTACAACTGTGTGTGCTAACGATGGGGTTGGATCCAGCAGCTTTTTCAGGGAACTTTGCTCAATCCCCTTCCTATCCCAGTACTCATCCCGCATGGTTTTTGAACACACATGCCCTTCGATTCACAATATAGTATTTTTGGATGGTCAAAGAGGACCTATCCTTCCTTTCTTCACCAGCAGAATAGCTGGTTGGATCCAACCATTATTAGTTTTGACTAGTGTGGAACTACACAGAAGCTTGACATGATTCCAGTGACTTTGATCTTTCTTTTTATTCTGGGGGCTTGGGACATACGGTACATAATACTTCCAGCGGAGTGGTTTTGGTGTTATTTACCCTTGGGGGAAATCCTAAGAGCTTTCTTTCCCGAATGAAGAAATCGCATCAGAACAGAAAAAATCATTTTCGAGTGTTTAGTGGGTGAAATGATTAAAGTAATGATTGTAAAAATTTGGATTAATTTAGATGTTGAAAAACTGCTCCTGATTAACTGATCGGTTTGTAATGGCCAATGGCTAAATACAGTAAAATTTTACTTACTGAGCAGTTTATTGTTTTAAAAAATGAATCGTTTTTTTTTAACATAAGTACTTGCAAAGACAGATGGTAGGAGGTGTCACCTTAGGAGGGGCCCTTGTTGTAGATGGTACCCACTGTAACATGTCTGGACTTTGTATATCTAAAGTGCCATCAAGTCGCAGCTAACTTACGGCAACCCCGTAGTGCTCTCAAGGGAAGAGATAAAGAGAGGTACTTTGCCATGGCTTGCCTCTTCCTAGCAGTCCTGGACTTCCTTGGGGGTCTCCCATCCAAGTACCAACCGGGGTCAACCCTGTTTAGCTTTCCAGGCCAGGGCATGTCTGAACATTGTCTCAAAACTAAGACAGTATGCTTTCCCTTTAGAATTATTGTTTATGGAGGTTGAAATTTAGGTTGGTTTAATTACAGTGTGATCTTAAGCAGAGTTACACCAGTCTGAGCAGTCACTGGCTTCAATGGACTTAGATGGGCGTAACTCTGTTTAGGGTGACATTGTACAACAGCAAACGTAGCAGGTCTATTCCAAAATCCTACAGGATTTATTTTAATGAGGCCTACGCCTAGTAAAGTGTTCTTAGGGTTGCATGGTTAATGAACGACTCAATCTAGTAAAACTCATACAATTAATCAATTATTTTTGTGTTTTTTGGGTGACAGCCCTAACTTAAATACATGGACTATGATCCACTGGACGAGAATCACGAACACATCTGGAGCTTTCCCATTGTCAGCTATTGCAACTGAAAGTTTCTGGTGTGCTCAAGGAGCTCTGCTGTTACATAACAACCAGTGAGAATCCTGTGCGCTGGTCTTTTGGACTGTAGCTACTGACAACATGGAGAGATGCACTTAGAGCATTGACAAAATGCACACAGATTGTTTACAATAATGACAAATAATATTTGACAAATAATATTTTAAATCTGTGATTAATAAAATCTTGTTATTTAACAAGGCATGGCATTATCTTTTATTGATGAAATAAAGAGAATGCAAACCTTCAGGCACAAAGGTTCTTCAAGCAGAAATGTACTTACCTTTAAGGCCCTGCATGGCTTGGGTTCACGTATCTCAAGGACCACTTCCTTCTGTACAACTCATCTCTCCCTTTTCTGGCCTATGTCCAAGGCCTGCTTGGCTTGTTTTAATATTGATGATGTCGTTTTTAATGATTTCATTGTATTGTTTCTATGTTATGCCTTAAGTAGGTCTTTGAGGAGATGGCATATACATTCTCTAATGAAATATATAAATATATAAGGTGGGGGGAAATGACTGTGCTTTGACTGACACAGAGGCTTGACAAATGAGGAGTACCCTCAGATATGTAACATGTATAATTTGCACAGGGAGACTAAGCTTGAGAAAATGTGGCAGGACATGGCTGGCAGTTGGGTAGAGCAGAATTTTAAAACTTTTAAAACATTTTGTTCAGAGAATTAAATTGCCACAGCCTGGCCCTGATTAGGATTGAACTGCAAACATTGTTTCTCTATATAGTGCATTTTTAACAGGTTTCCAATAAAGGGACATAGAATGAAGTTCAGTACTGATGGGAGTTAACGTCTGCTCTTTATTTAAAGGTCTGCAGAACGCAAACAGGAAGACTGCATGCCTAATTTGTGGAGATGGTTTCCAGCTGGAGAACTCTTGTAAACACTGCAGCTCTTTTTGTGCAACTGTATTACAGGGAGGTTCATACTTACCAATGAGTGCATGTTCTGCTCCAGAAAAGATGGCAAAGAGCAGGCTGACTGTGCCAAGATATAGCCACCCAAAACACTTTTGAGTCTATTCAAAATGCCTTGAGAAAGTGTTTTGTTAAAAGCCAACTCCCTGAAGCTGAGCTCAAGGAACTTCTTTGTATCACTACCTTCGCTTCCAAAATACTGAAATGGTCCATTTGTTATGAATTATATTCGTAGACGTTGGTGGCAGGGATCTGTGCAAATAACGGAAATAAGTGCCAACATCATTAACATTATGTCCCAGACTGTCAAACCATTTTGAGTGTGGTCAGAATGAGCTTTTGTTTCTCTCCTGCTGTAGGTAGTTAAAGCCTGGGATGGCCAGAAATGCAAGCCTTTTGGTGCGAGCCCAAAGAGAAAGAGCCAAAGGATTCTTGACCCTTGGTTCTTAGCTCATGGCTTGCAGTCTGTGACCTTGATGAAACACTCCAATAGATCCTGATCCAGCTCAGGACATCTAGCATACCTTTAGGTATTGGTGGAGAGGCTGTTTATTTACGTTGTATTTTGTCAATTGAAATAAATTGACAAAATACATTTTTTAAAAATATATATTATTAAATAGTATTGGTATTTTGTGTAATCGTCTTTCAGTCCCCACTGGGGAGAAACTGGGATAGGAAGTGCCCTAACTAGCAAACAGATTTCTCCAGGGTTAAGCTAGACCTTACATGCATGTGGATATAGGTAACATTGCCTGGATGGCCATAAAAGTCATATTCACTCAATGAGTGGTTAACATGTGGGATTCAATAGAATATAGTGATGGCGACCAGAGGATGAAACAATTTCATGAAAGATAGATACATTAATAGATATTAGCCTCAGTGGGCAGTCAGGACACTGAACTGATTAAGAATAACACAAGCTCTATTTATGGAACTCACTAGATAGGAGAGAGAGAAGAAATACCAAACTGCCTTACTAGCAGAGGGAGGGGGAGACTCTGGTGGCGGTAACACGTGTGAGATAACACGGGGGGGGAGCGAGGCTATTTCCTCCAGAGGAATTTGACCCACAGTTGCGTGATCACACAGTCCTTTGAAGCTGCGGGGGCAGCCCGCCATTGCAGGATGAGACGCAACCGTGGGTGAGTTTTTTTGGGGGGGGATTTGTTCCCAATGCGCTTAAATGGGGAATCGATGAATCGCATCTCAGCACTGAGGGCTCCCTATGGAGTGTGCAATGATGTGCATACTGAGAAGGGGGGAAAAACCAACGGCACGGAGTCAGGATGGCCTGATTAGACCATCCCGATGCCATGAAAGCGTCCTGGAGCGATCAGACGGGAAAGTCTGTCCATGGCCCATAGCAACCCATTTGCTACCAGACTTTCCCTCGTGTCTTTTTATTCCGCTTCTGCAGCGGAGCAAAACCGGTTGCCAATGGGTGTGGGGCGCTTCCCAGATGTTCATGTCTGATCGCATCTTTTAAATATGCCTGGCATTTGTGCCTATGGTGTGGCTAATTGTGCATGTGATCATGCCTTAAGAGTAGCATTCTTCAGGCAAATAAGGAAAGGCTCCCTTAGAAAGAAGGCACTCCCCGTACAGCCCTGTCTAGCTACAGCTTCCTCTTCTTCTTTGTAGATAAGCAATTGCTATATTCCAGCAATGACCACATGTTGATGGGACTCTGATCCTCTAAGGAGCCTTCCTCCATCAGAAGTGCCACTTAATTTGGAGAAAAGCTACTTAGGTTGGAGGAAGGCTTCCAGCTTCGCTCAGTAGAGTGGGGAGAGAGGGATAGGCTCTACCCAGCACCTCCATGTTCAGAGGCAGTAAACCCCTCAATACCAGTCAAAAGGGCAACATGGGGTGTGTGTG